CCCTTCACCTGCAACAGCCTCACCTTGCACGACCAATCACAGAGCAGCCATATGCACTACGACACATGAGAACATACACATTGAGAACATCACACACATACCGACACACCAACTCACCTATCAACCTGTCCCTTCACAATTTCAACCAACTACTCCCCACATTAGTCTCCCGGCAACTCTTTCGACAGATTACTCTTGCCCACAACATCAAGTACATCCGCGCTCCCCTTCACCTGCAACAGCCTCACCTGCGTGAAACAAATAGCAAGCATGCGTTTAAATCAATGGCGTCTAGCCTCATTCTATCATCCATATGCTCCTGTAGTAGCTCACACTGCACCCCATCGTAACCCCATCCCCCTGCAATGTGTTGGTTTCCTTACTTGCTACACTGATTTTATATGATTCTGGACTGATTTGAATCATATTATCTTCCTTATTGGCCATGGGCCATCGTGGAAATAAAGAATAATAAAATGTACATGTACATGTACATGTACATGTAGGTCCTCTTCACTCAGTAGACACGAGTCGAGGGAGCTGTAGTTCCGGTGCCGAGAGGCATGCTCACACCCCAGTGTGGCAACTTACTTCCCCATGTCTAACCCTAACTGCCTAAGACGAAGTGAATACTGCAATATTCATACTGGCAGGCCACCTTAAAAGAAATGACTGGACAGTGTGTATTGTAGCCCGGAGCAGAGGCAATGCAGCGCTACGTCGCAAGCAGGCCATGATGAAGCGCCTCAAAGTAGTATTTCCACTTGGGAGCTCCCAACAGGCCAAAGGGAACCTCTTTGCACATGCGAGCCACATGGACATACATTATACATTGTACAGGCTACCTCTTTGTACATACATGTACATGTATGTACATGTACATGTATGTGCATGTACATGTACATGTACATGTACATGTACATGCTACATGTGCATGTACATACAGGCCGCCAAGATTTTAATAGATTTGGCCATTTTGGGGGGAACTACTGCTCCCATACAGTGTACTTGCAAGTGCATGAGTCTGTTTGATGATCTGCACATTTTTGCAGCGTGGCAAGCGTATGCTTCGCTGTGACTAACTTACTAGTACATGTACATGCACATGATGGATGTGTTTCATACTCTTCAGCATCGGGAGACAACAATTACACACATGTAATATAACTCTGCTCCCATGCGTTTCGAAGAATCTCTCTCGAGCCGGAAGACTCGACGAATGTACATGTACATCGCTCTGTTTATCGCAGGTATAGAGTCACTCAGTGCTATTTGCTTATTGTCGATTTGTAAACCGTACCTTGCAGTCCATGTCTTCCCTTGTCATCATCATAATAGTATAGTTTTGTCTCTCTCCTTCCATTGCTCAGGAACACAGAGGCGGAAAGAGGCTGGTCCTCAAGTACGCGAAACTGTTCATAATAATAATAATAATAGAGTATAGAGCATTCCATTTTAAAACTTTGATGGTTTGAGTCGGTTAAAAAAAATGCTGTGTCGGTCATTAGACTTCATCAGAGCGATCGGTTTGGTCAGTAGCTTTGAGCTCCGCTGCCGACATCTACACGGTACATGTACTGGACGAGCTACAGAGGAAAAGGAAAAGCAAGGACGCCCACAGGGGCGGTAGCGAAACAGCTCTAGAGAAACGAGACTGGGGGGGGGGGGGGTGGCAGGGGTGGGAGAGGCAGCGAGTCTTGCGCGCCAATGGGAAGGAAGGAGGAGGAAGTGCGGGGAAGGAAACTACATACATGTACACGTGCACGAGTACTCCCACGACAATAGTCCTGCATGCGATATTCATTGGATTTCTTTTGAAGTTTTCAACGCCTTGTGCTCATTGTCTCTGCTTCTCGTATAATGGTGGAACGGGTTTATTGTGTGTACTAATCAGTACTTCATACCGGGAGTACATTTGGCGAAGTTCCTCTGATTGTCACGAGATCTTTCCCCAGAGTTATCATGACGCAATGTCGACAGCGGTAGAACATGTAAAACAGAGCGGTAGAGCATGTATATAATACCACGATCAGTTGCAGTGAATGCCAGACTTGCCAGTATACATGATTCCCACAGACCACACCAATAAACATCATTGCACAAAGCAGAGTTGCTAGTACAGTAAAACCTGTCAAGGCGACCACTCGGAGAAGGCGACCACCTGTTCCAGAAGACCACCGCAACCAGGACCAAGGGATGCTGTCTCCAGTCAAATGACCCTGGATAAGGAGACCACCTGGTAACGGAGACCAGATTTTGAAGGTCCCTTGAGCGGTCGTCTTAGACAGGTTTCACTGTACTTGCTACATGCCAGTGTGAGTGATGCCAGTGTGAGTGATGCCAGTGTGAGTGATGCCAGTGTGAGTGATGCCAGTGTGAGTGATGCCAGTGTGAGTGATGCCAGTGTGAGTGATGCCAGTGTGAGTGATGCCAGTGTGAGTGATGCCAGTGTGAGTGATGCCAGTGTGAGTGATGCCAGTGTGAGTGATGCCAGTGTGAGTGATGCCAGTGTGAGTGATGCCAGTGAGGGTACAGTGTACTACTACAGTGTAGCACCTGTTTCATACAGTACTTGTAAATGCCTTTTTAGCTTTTACATGTACCTTGAATAGAAGGTTCTTCACCTTCTGTAGCGCAAGTGCAGGTATGATGATGGCACACATATTAACACAAGGTGGAGGACAGTTGACATTAGTGTTCCTACATACAATCCTGTACAATAGCGAGGGTTTCCAGATTGCCTAGAGTGCTCAACACCACAAGGATGGAGCATTGCCACAAAGGCGAAGAGAGACATAGAGACAACCGGCTAGGTCATTGTTGTAACGCTGCGTTTCATGCACATAGCAAAGCTAAGGCAATCCTCAGACAACTGAACATGTACATGATTGTGCTTGTGCAGTCTTGTAATATTGTAGTTGTAACTGTTTACTAGTACCAACATGTACAGTTGCAGCCAATACAGGGATCATACCCACTACGTTGCACATGTATTATATCTCTCCTCACCCATGATTCTACCTCACCTTCTCTTGTCTTTATCGCACTAAATCACCCCCTTCTTTTAGGCTAATGGTGCGCAAGCTCACGTTAACGCCGAGACCATAGGTCGGTGTTGTGGGCTTGCCTCATCACTGGAGTCACAGGCTTGCTTTGCAGCCCCTACTCTCCTATCCGTATCCCTGCTGTTCTGTTATCGTATATTCTGTTGTCTTCTCCCCTTCTCACGAGTAGGTTGTGTACTTATTAAAAAAATGTACATGTAGTCATGTACATGTATACATGCCACGTGCCTGGTCTGAATATCGTGTTTGACCCTTGTGACCCTTGACCCTTGTGACCCTTGACCCTTGTAACCGTTACTTTCAGAAGAACAAACTACGTACGAGTACACTGGGCTACAGTCTCAGTCGTGTGCTGGTTCGCTTGGGTCCACTGTTTTGGCTAGCAAACCCAGAGCTAGAGGTACCGTCACTACCTGTATTTCAATCAAACGCAACCCCGGGTTTTTGTAGGATCAAATTCACAACAGCAGACATAACCAGTGTCTGTAGTCACTGGTGTGCTGAAAGACAGAGAGTTGGAGTCTCGACAATGGGGGAAGATCTCAGCGGTGGGTCTAAGTAATAGTTTCGTTCTGCAGCTCTGCATCGCTCAGCAGAAAGCAGCATATCGCAGGTCACTGTGACCTGGTGACTGGGCGATGAGTACGTGTATGCAGTAACGTTGGCAACATCAATACAATAATAATCAGGGAGTCGTAAAATATTTTACGACTCCCTGATAATAATAATAATAATACAGTGTCGTCGCAGATGGCATGGTGCATGTGTACTTATGGGCCTCCCGTAGATCTTATGTATCAGCTGTGATCTGTGTAGCTGTGAGTGTGTGTTTCGGTGTATTCAATCATGGCATGTTTTGTTTTGCATTCTGGAGCCTTGCTTGGTATGGATCCTTCCTCATGTGGTGATGACCCAAATGAGATCACGTTCTGTGAATAACAGACCAGTCTGCATTCCAATGATGGACGTTGTCTAAAAATATGCACGTGACATAATCTGTTCAGAGCCAATACTAGGCTTGTATTGTATTACTATTAGCTACATGTACATGTACATGTACACAGCTGCTCATCAGTACTTGAGAATAGCCGGGGTCAGCCTAGAAAGCATGCATATCCGGTAGTTACGGGCCGCGCGCGGGGTCAACGAAAACATGCCCAGCGAGAAAACAATTCAATAACAATAATATGCGTATGGAAAGTGTTCCGCTTTACCCTGGCTTCATTATGATTATTTTATCAGTGCAGGCCGTGTGGCCCCTTGCGGCCTTGGCCGTGTCTGGAGTGGCCGCTTCACAACATCTCACATACAAATCGCGCTTGTGGTCGACAGCCGGGAATCCCCAGACATGCCCCATGTGCGCTACACTGACTCATGTGTCATACTACACATGTATACTCGTGGACGCATCGATGGAACTCTCGAGATCTCAACCATCGTCGCACGTGCACGCGGTTTCGAATCGGCCATGGCCTACATATACATGATCATCATGATCATGCATGTATGATGTAGCGAAATCTACAATCATGTCGCTAGACACGACACAGCTACAGGCCCTGTGCTGCCTGCATGCATGCACTGCAACATTATGCTGCCCCATGCCCAACGTCCTGTTTATGCATGACCAGCGGGCCAAGCAAACAGCTGTCGTCATGAATGATACTCCAGGAAGCGGAGTACTCTGGCACCCGCTACCCAGACCAACAGTCAGGAGGAAAGACCCAGGTCGTGGAGTACGCACCCTAGCGAAAGAAAACATGAGCAGTTGAGGGTAAACATGGGGACGTTCGGTCACCATGAGCATGATGTGCGACAGGGCAAGTGTCAAAGCCTCAACTGGCAGGAAACTGCCACAGGCACAGCCAGAAACATCGGTTAGCACATTTTTCTCGAACTGAAAGGACGTCTGATGCCCTTCCGTCATATACCTCCGTTCACCAAGCTGGCAAGCGTCGGGATTATTTTCTAGAGCTGCGTTGTGCGGTAGAGATGCTTGTGCTGTCAGTTACGAACGACTCTATTGCTAAGTCTTTAGGAATTTTTAGAAGGCTACATGTAGGCCTGGCCGTGTGATTGTGTGCGGTGCCGCTTGTAGAGCATGGGGAAAGTCGGTGTGCAAGGGAAACACGGCGGTGCCTATGCTCTGCCAGTGAGCATAACCCGAAAGGCCCCTAGCAGCATTTTGTGCCGAGCCGAGGTGATAATGCGCAGACTGCAACGACGGTCCATGAATGGTGTATGCGTGGCTTGGGTGATTGCTGAAAGAGGAGGACGGAACTGCAGGCGGGAGTCATCTACAAACATAATGCTGTCAATGTTGTTGTGTTATGTCTGTTGTGTTCAACTCCCGGTTGGGGCGACTCATCAGCTATCGAGAAGCAATCTTCACCCAAGGTCAGGCCACTGACCCGGCTGACCATGCAATTCAACCATGCAATCAGCAATGTTTGCAATTCTCTTGAAGAATCTATTAGGGACGAGTGACTGGGGTTCAGTTGGGCCAGACGAAAATACTGTTTCTCTTCTCCACCGTCTGTCTTTGTACCATGCCAGCCACACCGCAACTACCCCCATCCGAAAGGAGCACGATTGGCACCGCTTCTGGAGTAGCACCTTCCTCTCCCCTTCTCTCTCTCTCTCTCTCTATCTCTCTCTCTGAGTCGCCAATATGTGATCGGCTTATTTCCAAGCAAGGCTTGCCCGGTCATGCGTAGCAGGGAGAAGCCGACTGCGGCTGATGAAGTACAATAATTTTTTGCGTGACTAATGCTGGAATTTATTGGTGGGACTCCTGTGATCTCATCTTGCCTGCAGCTACGGACGGTGCACATTATGTAGTGAAAATGGAGGCAAGGTGTTACTGCTGGTGTTTGAAATTCGAAAGCAACACCTAAGTATATGTATTACGGTACGAAGATGAAAGCTCCAAATGCTTTCGCCCACAAGCTAGCGAGTATAAAAGCACAAATCTTCGCTCCACTCCAGCAGAATAAAGTGGAAGAGATTCCAAACCATCAACGCTAGCAAGCCTTTGTTTTGTGGCATTGGCGAAGTAATCGTTCGACAGTTCGAAGTTCTTTTTGTTCAAATCATGATGTTCCTTTCCGTGTATTCGGATGCGAAGAGGACGGGAGATGGCCTTTCAGTGTCCTTATGGCTTGTCACTCTGCTGGCCATGGCCGGCTGTGTCCGTGCAGCGCCAGGCTGGGTCACCGGTAATGCCTCCTCGGCCAGCCACCACGCTCACGACTGCGACGATTCACCATCAGGTAAGTGACTTGGAGTCCGATGGATACGCACCCCCAGTCCTAACGTTAGGCACCTGGACGCGTTGTGCGTGTGCATGTGCAAGAGGTGTCTCAGTTCACGTACGTACGTGCAGCTAGCATAACTGGTGATTACTGATTAGCAAGGAGAGAAAGACGGGACTCAGCCGCGAAGAGATAGCCGAGAGTATAGATAGGTAATAGACTAATAGTTCAGGTAGCGGTGCACATGTACAGCTATCTCAGCTATATGGCACCAGGATGCGATGATGACACTTGACAGGCTACAAATCCGGTGAGCACGTGACGTTTGGCACAAGCCAAACATAATTCAATGGCTGCATGGTATTTCTCAATTCAGATATGCGGATTTGCTTGACAACAAAGGAAACCGTGATGTTCATGTGCTTCAGTGAGCTGACTGACTGTTTGAAGCAATCATGCAGCTGAGTTTAGCACTAATGCTGGAGTGAATGTTCACTTACTAGTTCCTGTATGCATCAGATAAAGAGATACATGTAACAATGTAAATAAGAGCATGGCTGCATCTCTGTGCATGCATTCATCCAGCCATTCACTTCATAACCTGAAATGTTTAAGTATTCTCTCAAGGCCAAAGCAACTGACAATCTCCACTATGCATTGAAGCTCTATCCTGAAAGGTTCTGTATAAAAGCATGCATTGACTTGCAGTAACAGGTAGAAGCAACAGCTATAGGAACGGCAATGGAGACAAAGAAACTGGCAACATAAGATAGCACTTTGCTGCTGTTCAAACCAGGTGCTGGAAAATATGTTCTAGTCAACACCCATGTATTTTTAGGTAGCTTGCTCATCAATGCTTAACAGCGCGAGGATCCATATTTGATGCCCGGCAGGATACAAATTTAGAAAGAGACAAGTTTCTGAGTGTTGCCGAAGACAGAAGGAGGGTACATGCTCTCTCTCTCTCTATCTCTATCTCTCTCTCTCCCTCTCTCTCTCTCTCTCTCTCTCTCTCTCTCTCTCTCTCTCTCTCTCTCTCTCTCTCCCGCTCTCTTTCTCTTTCTTTCTTCCTCTCTCTCCCTCCCCTGTCTGTCTGTCTGTCAGTCTGTCTGCCTATCTATATGACAGAGATAGAGACAGACAGATACACATTGTATGTCTGTCTGTCTGTCTGTCTGTATCTGTCTCTTTGCTCTCTCTCTCTCCCCTCTATCTCATCTGTCTGTCTGTCTGTCTGTCTGTCTGTCTGACTGTCTGTTTCTCTGCCTATGTCTGTCTGTATCTCTCTGTCTCCCCCCCCCTCTCTCTCTCTCTATAATTATGTACCGGTACTTCAGAACTGAATGAGAGCTGCTCGACCTGTCATAGTGAAGGTTGAAATACAATTATTGATTGTAACTTGAGCTACAACACTGAGCTACAACACTGAGCTACAACACTGAGCTACAACACTGAGCTACAACACTGAGCTACAACACTGAGCTACAACACTGAGCTACAACACTGAGCTACAACACTGAGCTACAATACTGAGCTACAACACTGAGCTACAACACTGAGCTACAACACTGAGCTACAACACTGAGCTACAACACTGAGCTACAACACTGAGCTAGAAAACATTCACAGCTTTGTTGCGTGCCCAGCTGTACGATGGAATGTCACTATCTGATTCTGGGCCTAAGTTAACCATGCGGACATTCTCTTTCTGCACAGAATACCGCGGCTTTGATTGCAGCTTCAACCACCACGTGGAGACCAGATGCAAGTATTACGCACAGGCCATCAAGTTCATGGACAGGAGCGAGAGCGAGCGCTACGGCGGCATCCCGCTGGTGAGTCGCAACGCGTCGACCATGCCCGGCAGCCTGGGCGACTGCGACAAGCCGTCCTGCACGCCGCTCAACACCACCCAGTACCTGCCCGTGCCGTGCTTCTGCGAGTGCAACACGACTCTCATACAGCAGCAGTTCCACTACTTCGTGGCCTTCAACCCGACCTGGTGCCAGGACTTCACATACACCATGCAGGCCACGCACGCCACCGGCCTGATCTACGAAGTCACACACCCGCCTACTCTCATCTCCAAAATGGTAAGAATGTGCCCGGGCATGCTTGTGATGTCATGGACAACGGTTTCTGCGAATGACACACCCGTTAGTTACTCAATCTGCGGACAGAACTGTTTCGTCCTTCGTGGACTCATCAGCGCAGCACAGAGGAAATGAGGTCGAACCTGATAGCAATGAAAAATAAATTTTCCAAAACCAGATTTAAACCAGGCCCAAACGTACCTTGCTAGAGTGCTCAAACTTACAAGTCAGCGAGCTCTGCATAACGCAAACAGCAAAGGTACTACCCTACGTTAGATATCAATCCAAACAACACATAAATATCCAACTGCTCAGCATATGGAAGAGTGGGACATAGAGTAAGAATTTATTCTTGCCTTGCCTTGCCTAAATTGTTCTTGTCCTCTACGGGGCGATAGGTTTTTTCTGCCATTTTGAAAGACCCTGCTGCCATCACTATTGAGTTGGGACAACCCTGAAAGCAGCACTAAGCCCGTTTGCGGCCATCTGAGAAGATCTGCAGGCCGTGGCCATGCGCATGCAGCTGACTAAGGGATGATATTTCCTAACTTTGATTATCCGAAATTTCTAAGCCCGTTTGCGGCCATCGGAGAAGATCTGCAGGCCGTGGCCATGCACATGCAACTGACTAAGGGGTGATATTTCCAAACTTTGATTATCCTATTTGAACACTCTTGGATCGCTCTTAACTCATGTCTGTTACTGGCACAGTGCTTGTGCGACAATAGGATACCGGTGGTAGTTCATGTGCTGCTTTGTTTCCATTCGCAGAGTTACTACACGACGGTGTACGAGTTCTTCCGCGACAACTACGGCATCGGCATGAGCCAGGCCAAGCGACCACCGGGTCTCTGGACGCCAGACAATGCCACCGACCCCCTGCTGCCGCAGGACAACCACTGGAACGACGACAACGTGTTCGGACAGGTAATGGAAAGGTTTCCTCGGAGACAAATGCTAGAAGGAAAGACACAAGGTCCCTGGTTCGAGTCCTGGAGGTGACAGTCAATTTTCTAGAGACGTTTCCCATCTCCATTCCCTCACCTAGCGAATAAAAAAATAAGGAGGACACACTTCAGGGTTTTCAACAGCAAACTTTTGAAAGTTTTCCATGAGTGTACTTTCAAACCTTCTCCTCAGGTGGGATACAGGCAAGAGAGCAAAGGAACAATAATGGGAAAGTGTTGCCAATAGGCCATTCAGGAGCAGCGTGCACGGCAGCCATTTTGCTTTCCTCTGGCTGAACCGAATGGATGACGCGCATCCATGTGTCCTCTGTTCACGTGAACAGAGGACTAGTTCCACTCTGTGGGCTAGGATATGCACGGAAGAGATTTCTCAGATACTCACTTCCCACCGCATGGGTGTGATCAGTCAAATATCGCAATGTGTACACCATTTACCTTCTTCAATATGCGGAGGCTCCACTGCAGCCAAGTAATCATGTACACCATTCACCAGGATGAATACTCACTTACATTTACCCGTTCGACAACATGTGCAGTGATGTATGCTTATGACAGCTGATGTGGAATTTGATCATCTCGTACAGCTTCGCCTGATGGGAGTCAACCCACTGCAGTTGCAGCGCGTGACCTACAACTGGTCGGTTGGCGTGCACTACCAGCAGTTGCAGGCCATGCTCAACACCACCCTGGACCTGGCAGTCGCAATCAAGATGGCACTCGGAAGAGACGATCTCACCGTGCCCAAGGTACAGTCATGATCCCGGCTGTCGGGCACCTTACGGATGTAGTGAAGTCGAGATCTTGAACATGACAGAAAGCATTAGGCAATACTTCGGACCTGCTTTGAAATATCCCACTGGAGGATAAATGCATGATATTTTCGACATTGCTCAAACGCTGTCTAACATATTTATTTAGACCAAGTTGCAAATTTAACCACTTCCAAAAATCTGTATACGGTACCAAGCAAGAATCAAGCAAGAAGATATTTTTGAAAAGGGGTTTCCCCATTCACCTCCCTCTGCTTTGCTAGATGTTACAGGAGACTAGATACAGAGAACGATCCCCCCGCCCCCCCCCCCCCCCCCCACTAGCATGTGTATAGTTGGCTGAAAATCACATTCTGAGATCATTAGATCAGATGATCGAATGTCAGTATCAGGCCACGAGACAGAAACCCGTACTACCGTTTAACATGGCCAATCGGGTGAAGCGTCACTGATGCTCAAGTGTTTGCATAAATTTGATTGCACTGCACCGGATAAATATTATATAAAACGGATAAACCCTCGGGAAAACACTGCACCAGATAAACCATTTGATCCTGAGTTTCATTTATGTCCAGTTCTACTCTTTTTCAAATGGTGTGTTTTGTGACGATGATGCTTCCCATGACTGAATCCCGTGCAGGCGATACTGGAGGAGCGACTGTACGTGCTTCACTTCCCACTGCTGAAAGACATCAGAGGCGATCCGGAGGCCAAAGGGGCGTACGCCAATCGGCTGATGATGGCGCCGGTGGCGTTGTTCGTGGCGACCGAAAACCCAGCCTACCCACTCAAGCCCATAGCTATCCAGCTGGGACACACGCGTAAGTGACTTTGCGTCTTGCCCCCGCCATGATTCTTGTTGCTGCCGGTATTCTCGCAGTGCAGTGCTTCGACTATGATTGTGCTGTCCACAACACAGGCATCTAAAATACCTAAATATCATGGTTCATCAGCTCAAAACATCAAAAAATCCCCTAATACCATCGTTTATCAGCTCAAAACCATCAAAGCCTTCTGTAGTCTTAAAAAAGCTGCCTTGTTATGTACTTCACCGCTAAGAAATAAACGGGAGCTTGGAGCAGAATTGTGAAGCAAAGATGACTGGGCTGATGGTGTCAAGACCCCCCCCCCCCCATACACACAGATAATAAGACCTTGCCAAAAACTGAAGAAAAAACTGGGCACCTATGCTGTAAGTCAATTGTGGGTTGCCAAATATGGAAGGTATGGATAATGCTTGTGAGTACCAGTATGCTGGAATCAGGAGAGCACTGTTCAACACTCCACACGACCGCATCTCCAGGTGGCTGTGTGGACCCTGTGTCAGCGGTAAAAACCACAAGTATGCCATTACACAATGGGGAAAACCCATTTCCGCGACAATGCGGAAAACCCCTCACTGTGTTTCACTGCCTGTGCACATGCAACATTCACTGTCACTTTGCTGTACAGAAGCATCGCCCATTCACACTCCGGACTCGGGATACTTCTGGTGGACGGTCAGCAAGATGTACGTAAACAACGCCGATGGTCTGACGTCGCAGATCCGTCACCACCTGGTCAACTCGCATCTCATCTCGGAGGTGTTTGCCGTGGAAGCGTTCATCCGCCTGCCATTTTATCATCCGATTTACATCTTGCTGCAGCAGCACTTTGAGGTGAGAAAAAGGGCACCGAATCTATGATGCTTTCGCATTCGCAAGCCATCTTACATCACTACCAGGCATCCCATGTGATCTCTGGGGGCTGAAAGAATGATTATACATCATAAAAGGTGCCTGCTACACCATAGCCCATCTCTAATCCCACACTGACTGCCTTCTGCACTGTGTGCTCATCAATATGAATGCATACTACATCAACTCCCCCCCCCCCCCGACACTAGTTACTATGGTGAGCTCATTGAAACAAGAGGTGCCCAACACCACCTATCTCTCACAGTTGGAACTGACCATGGCAAACCTGTATCCTAAACAATCCAGCTCCTGCACACTCAACCATTGCTATTGTCTACGCTTTTTTCTTGTGTGTTTGCTTACTGATCGCAGGGCCTTGTCGGTATCAACAGCAAAGGCTTTGAACTTCTGACCAGCAAGTGCGGCTCTGTGACAAAGGTGGCGGGTTTCGGCTTCTCCGGCCTCGGCGACTTCATCAAATCCAGCTACGAGAACTGGACTTGGGACGACACGGAAATGCTCGGTGGTCTCGAGGTATGGCCAGTCTCGATCTAATATGTGTCCTCTTTAAAATGAATCATGTTTCAGTACGCGAGGCATAGACTTCTTATTACAAAACGTCAAATTGGTATGAGCTCAGGTGCAGTGTGCGGCAAGACTAGGAGTGTGTGTGTATGCATGCATTGCCAGTGAACCAGCCTACTTCTGCCTCCCTGGAACTTACTACACGGTATGCAGCTTGTCACAAGATAGTTCACTTGAACGAGAGCAGCTTGTTCCAACAACTTACTTGAAAATCGAATATTTGTAAAATCACCATACCAACCGGCCAGGATACAACACACGCATGCACAACAGCTCCGAAATGCAGGATATAGTTTGGCGTACACAACCAGACACTGTTTTATAGTGTGTGAGATTCTTGGTGTTCTCCTCGATGGATTTTCTGTGCAGAGACGTGGCGTGGAGACTTCCGTTCTGAAGCAGTATCCGTTTCGGGATGATGGCCTCAAAGTCTACAGTGTGCTGAGGAAGTTTGTCAAGGCATACGTGACCAGGTAGGAAAGTAGCTCATTTGCTTAGAAGTCTAAGTTTAGTACATGTAGCAACCGTGTGGGGTACATGTTGCAAGGTTATACCAAAGCAACCTTCTCCCGCCCCTTCTCTTCCTTCTCCTCCACCTCCTCTTACTCCTCCTTCTCCACCTCCTTCCCGTCTCCATTTAGAAATTCTCTCCGAGTAACCTTTCCGTCGTTCTTCTCTCTAGCTTGACCTCAGTATTCTAGCATGTGTGTTCGATGGCAACTTGCTGTTGGAATGGTATAGCATTAAACACATAATTGCAGCTGTGGCCTTCACAAGCACAGTATTGACTGTACCCACATTAGCCAAGCCTCGTTTTTTGCTCCAATCTGTCAACAACATGTTGATGTTGTGCAATGCTCTCTCTTCAGTAGTTACGTAATAGGTTTTTCGTTTGACCCGACGAGACCGCACAGTGCTTGCACACGACAGCACGAACAGTTCACCAACCAGCCACACTCCATGATAGCAAGTACAGTATTTTCCCGAATATAAGTCGCACTTTTTTACACTAAAACCCAAGGGTAAAAAAGGGGTGCGACTTACAAAGGCTAAGGCCCGTGGAGAATCCATAAAAACAAATACAATGCAACAATCGAGCATGACTTACTACTGAAGTGAATAATACATCAAAACATTATGGCTCAAACCTGACAATGGGGGTGCGACTTATAATCGGGGAAATACGATAGTGTTGCTCCTGACACCCCTGCTTCTGCTTCTCTTTATTGAAGTTTCTGTGTTCTCGAATACTCTCTGAACCCTTAGGTTCTACTGTTCCGATAAGGCAGTGTATGAGGATCGAAACCTTCAGAAGTGGATACAGAAGGTCAGCAAGAGACACGAGGTTAGTCGGCACGGCAGGCCGTACACCAGGTTACCATGGTAACCAACAAGGCACTGCTGCTACCCTGCACGTACTACGGCTTTCACTTCAATATTCAAAGTGCAACAACTGTGCATGTGTGTGTGTGTGGGGGGGGGGGTGCACTCCGTATGTGGTGCAGTATGATTATCATGGCCTGTGCTCCAAGACTGAAGTTCTCACTTGCATTAGATATCAACGAGTGAAATGATCCGGTTTGAATCCAATTGAATGCAAAGAGTACAGACTTTGTTAACTCATAGCTGGTCGGTTGCTTGCCTGCGCGGGCAGTCAAAGTGTTTACTCATACCCCATACCGCTCTCACGCTGTTGCCTGTAACCGCTGTTCGCTTTCTTCAACCTGACTCTTGTTTTGGAATGCTGCAGAACAAGGGAGTTCCGTCCTCGTTCAGTGGCAGAGCCGACCTGGTCGACCTGCTGATCAGGGTGATATGGGTGAACTCGGCGCAGCATGCCGCACTCAACTACCCGGTCAAGGAGATCGGCTCGTTCATTCCGGCCACCGCCTACACCGTGTTCAAACGGCCGGAGCAGTGGAGCGATACCGAGATCGCCAGCATCACGTCCAACGATCACAATGACGGCCTCGTGGCAATGTTGCCACAGTATCAGATGGCCATTGTAAGTGTGGGTTGGGTGCAGTCTATTTTGGATATGTCACTTGCGGTTACCGGGACAGAACAACAAGGGCGATCATGGCTTGTTTGCTGCTACTTCAAGTATCATGCTCTTGCAATCATCAGGCAACAAGAGGATGGGGTTCCGACCATGCCGGTATATGCCAGGAGAGGGTGGGTCTTGTAGCGCTGTATGAAAAGCTGTGCGAGAATGCAGTTACAAATGGTTCCCAGTGTTGCACCGGGTCACGTATTGTAGATCAGATTGGATGAGTTTGAGTACACAGTACACAGTACATAATCCTGGTTTGGCTACAAGTATAATTCTGTGGGGATGTATGCCACCATATCGTTTCAAGTTGTACTTCAAGATATGAGTAATAAACTAATAATTGAGTCACTGTGTGGTTCATGCTACAGGAACAGACGGGCGTTGCCACACAGCTCGCCTCGTTGCGGTACACGGACCTCCTGACGTACGCCGACAAGCTGCGGGGACCGGCACACCTCAGGGCCGAGGCCGGCAAGATCGTGCGCAAGTATCGGAAAAAGCTGATGGCCGTGGACGCCAACCTGCGACAGATAAACATCGACCGTCGCAGAGCCGGTCTCATGCCGTACCGCAACATGTTGCCAACATTCCTGCCCAACTCCATAGCAATTTAAAGCTGGTGCCTTACACGCAACAACGCTATGGCACAGGCTGACTTCACTGAAATATACATATAGGTAGCACAATCCTCTAAAAAAATTCATTCAGATTTCTCCATTATTGCTGGCCGGCTAGAAATCATTCGCATGGAATCATTGCTATTTAAATGCTATTATCATGTATAAATTGAATTTTAAATTCCCTGTGCAATGCATGCTCCCCAGCTAGCCGGTGCTGCTCTCTCGAACGGTGCTTCATACTGCTGGCTTTCATGTACATAGCAATGTGACTGTACAAAATACGTGCACGGCGAATTATTGTATTCCCACTAGGAACGAAGTATGAATGAGTTAAGGCATGTTTCTCAGTGCCTGTACCGCCACACGTTCGGCTATACGTAACATTACGATTATTACAAGCCTGTATGACATGGTATGAAGGAGCGGGCTTACGGCTGTTTCTCCACCAGTATTTTGCCGTTATATGATTATGCTCATCCGCGTTATCTACGAATTTCCATCTTGCATTTATTTTCTAAACTTTGGACCGGACCTGAACCATATTGCTTGACTTTGTACATGATTGTACTCTCAAGCGAGCAATGGCAGCTTCATGACTGACCCATATGGCAATGCAGCCTATCAACCGCATACTTTCATCTAAAATTCAACACAAAAATAAACTGTTCTCGAGCTAGTAAATCTGTATTCACAGCCTGTAACCAGGGACTTGTATAGACTCAACTCTCTGGTAGGAACCAATTGTGCAGGCACTATTGTAGTCTATTATCCTCGGGCACTACTGTGGGACGCAGGTGGACCACATAATTTACAGCTACAAGTACAACGTATCAAGGTACCCTGTCCCAGGCAAGGCCAGGGCCGAAATAAGGGACCGGGAGTACACGGTAGTAACAATACTAGGGAGGTTTAGTCCCACGTAATCCGTGGGTACTTTACGTGGGTGTACCACGTGATACTCAGTGACCCACGTACAGACGTTTTCTGATTCACGACATGCCGTGTATGGAGGCTCACCCACGTTCCGCCAGAACGTGGGTGAAAATTAGAATGGAGCGCATTGTGCAAGCTGTGAGGGTGCTCAGCTGAAGAAGTTTCCGAAGCACGAAATCAAAATATTCGATGAGCTTCTTAGGCCCGGGTAGCTTCGTCTTTGACCAGGTTTGGGCCTTTCGCTTTATGCTTTTGTTTGTTCCGTGTGACTAAACACAACATTGCAACGTGGGTGCCCTTCATCCACTTTACGTGGATCACCCACGTACGCGTTTCCGTTACGTGGGAACTAAACCTCCCTACTATCAAGAGTACATAACCCCAGAGCACATAAGCCCAGAGTAGTAAAATACATGTACATGTACCTTCAAGTTCAAGAGTACATAATCCCTGGGGTTACACACTTGAAAGAAGCCTATCAAAACGTTTCTGCTGTAACTCACGGTTTTACCGAGCATCAGACAGCAACCTGACTTCCGGGGAAGATGTGATTGATATACGGTAGGCTGCAGCACGCTGGGATCATAGGCTCATTCATAGCGCGAGCTTGGTTTCACGTATAGCAGAACCTCACTATACACGTGTGTGGGTTGGGTGGGGTGATGTAAACATAGGCGCAACTAGAATACACTTTAGGCTCAGGTTCATACGACCACAGGATCTTCAAGTTTTTGGGATCATGCGAGGAGAAAGACAGACTCGGTGGGAAGCTTTCGAGGGAGGCGAGGAGAAAGGCAGTGGAATGACCATGAGCAGCGCCTCCATAACCCCCGGGGTTATGTACTCTAGTCTTGATACTACAGTCATGTAGTTGATACTATGTACCAAGAGGACATCTTGATACTACACAGACAAGTAACCTAAACCATCTATTCTTCACTTCAACGCACTCCCTTACTTGCCCTCCGGTTGATCCACCAAGGAAGGCGGCATGCATGGTAGGTCTACAACAAGCAGGAGACCAACAAGCAGCTCTCGTATTATGTGGCTGGGCTGTGGTGACCCGCAAGTGTTTGCGGCGATTGCTCTCGTGAAGGCGGTACCGACGGTAGGCAGGCAGGAGGAAGAAATACTGTTCACAATCAGACAAATTGCAACGGTCGCCTGCTTCCTTCTTCGCTCTGAGGAGTGAGAACGTGATTCCAAGATTTGCTGTCATTTCTACTCTGCAGACGGACTTGAGTCGCTGAAGAATATCTGCATAACCATTCAGTGTACGGTGCATGTGTGGCGACATGATTCTCTTTGCTCTCCAGCCCATACCTATAAATAGCACCAGCAGTGGATAGGCGGTGCCGTGGTACATGCAACTAACCTGTCCCTGGCCTGCGGGAATTTGCGGAAAAAACTCTCGAAAACTTGCGCAAGAAATTGCGGCAGAAAACAACAAAGAATGCGACGAAAAGTGCGGAATGATGCAGAACTTGCCAGGAATTCGCGGAATTATTTGCAGAAAATTGCGGATTTGGGCCAAATCACGAAATTTGTTGCATCGTATATCTACTCGGGAGTAGTACGAGTCGTGCTGTGCAAATAACCTACAGGATCATGGAAATATACCGAAAAACAGGATCATGGAAAGTACTGCGTGAAAAGTGCATAAAAATGTGAGATATGGTGCAGAAAACAACATAAAAACGCGGGAAATCGCGGATTTTGCTGAAAATCGCGGGTTTGGGCCAAAATCGCGAAATTTGTTGCATCCGTGGAATCGCGATTTCCTGGAGGGACAGACTAACATGCATTCTATCAGCATTCCCAAAGGTAAAGAATGCTGGTTTGTAGTCATGATTTCCCATCCTGCATAGGCCATGCACCCCTGCTTGTGGAAAGCTGTCCAATTATTATTTGCAATCCCAGACATACGTATAGCATGCTGCAGCAGTGCATGTCACCTGGTAGATCTACCCGGTCAAGGAGCACAAGAAATGGCTTCGAATCGCTGGCTGTAATCTGTATGTTACCCACAACGAAGTCTAACGTGGAGTGGAGTGTCAATAGCTGGGTATTGCCTGACACATTGAAATACATTTCCAGGCTTCGTCGCAGCATCAGAAGGCTGCTAAACCGGAAGGTGATCTCCGTGGACGATCCCAAAGCAGCTGCCGGCACACATGCACACACACCAAAAGTCTGCGAAAAATCAAGTCACTCACTGACAAGGCAAATCTCTATTCTATTCTCTATTCAAATCTCTTTACCTGTTCGAAAGCGTACAGCTTCCTGAAAGCAGGAGTGACACATACATCGATTCATAGTGCTCAGAATTCAAATAAAGTCAAAACCAGGGAGTCAGTTTACGACTCCCTGGTCAAAACAACACAATACAATCACAAGAAGACAACAATCAGACAAGTAATTAGTTACACAGACACAAAACACACACAATTTTAATAAAGAAATAAAGAGGTTGAGTTGCTCGCGGACGCACGAAACACACAACTAAAGAAATAAAGAGGTCGAGCTATTCGCGCCTGCACCGGATATTAAAATAGATGCAGAATAACTGATGGAATGCTGAAATCGGGGGCTGCGGCTTGAGAAAGTTAAAAAAAAGTATGTGCAGTGGGGAGATGGTTTCCGTACGCAGAGCGCGGGGAACACTCTGCGCAGCCAGACGGGAAAATAATATACGCAAAGCGCAACAGAGACTCAAAACACCGCAAGCGTCTTTACTGCTGCTTGTCACATGACACGGCTATGTACAGTTCATGGCATGGTCAGGCCATGAGAAGGAGATGGCATAGGGTTCGAAAACTAAATAAAAGCCAAATTGGCTCATGGGTCGGTCGGGAGATGGGGTCAGCCTGTGAACTGAGAGGCGTGATCGCGATGGTTACTAGTGATCTTGGGATGGGAGACGCCTTGGGACACTTCCCTACGTATTCCTGCAAGTACGTAGCATGCCAATTCAGCCAGCTAGCTGGATCAAAAAACGCCAGGCAAGCTATACGTTGCAATAGGATTAGGAAATTCGCAACGGAACGTGTACGGCCATCGAACGCTTTCTGCACACGCAGATTAGAAGATGGAGCAGTTGATGCACGGACAAACGGGTGACTGCGCCACCACCTCCAAACTATGCACGTCGGCTAGTCGGCGGGCAAAGTCAATGTCGTACGGATCCATGCCGATCTCCTCCAGCGCCACCATCGTCAGCCGATGGCTGGGAGAGTCGGCTGAGGAGCGCAGTAACCGATACAGGGCATTGTTCATGTCTTGAAAGAAGCTGTGTGTCAAGCACAAACAGGTGAATATACACGTATACACGCGTGCACCGCCACCAAGGATACTGAGATTCACAGTGCAGGGAGAGAGATGTGTAGGCGTTGTATATGTGCTGGTGTGTGTGTTTGTGTGTGTGTGTGGTGTGTGTGTGTGTTTGTGTGTGTGTGCACGCGCGTGTGTGCATACATGACTCTCAACATCCAACTGAAGACCACCGGTCACCACCGATCACGCTTCTGTGTACCAGAGAAATGAGTGGCTGTCCTGTTCCTGACAAGTCATTCAGCTGCATTCATCAGAAATGAGCCGCCAAACGAATCCTCCGTCCAGCTGACGAGTCTGGATTCAATTCGTACTCGTTAACGAGCCGCAGAAGCTCGTCGATATCGAGCCTCTTACAACGGGGAGTACATACCTGCACAGATATGCAGCGTACTGTACATGTATTCAAATACCGATACGCAGAGGTAGCATGTGCAGACTAGACCACAGCACACACGCACACATCACGTACCTCATGAACAGCTCCTCTTCTCCTGTCTCGGACTCGGCCGAAAGCTGACTCCTGCAGGCAAGCACACAGATGAGACAGAACACCACGGCACATGTACAGTCAGCCTTGTGACCAGCGACCCTCAACCCCCTCGATTGTGCATGAAAAAAGGGTTGTTATTCGCGAGTTATCGTCATCCGTGAGTTGTTGAAAGTACTGTAATTTCACAAATTTCCGGTGTACTTTTACTTTCGGTGCATCTGTTTCGTACCTAAAATTTCAATACACCGGGGCACGAACACACATAATCCAATAGGGAACTGCTTCTCTGTACCTAAAATTTCTGTTCACCTAATCTGGCCTTTCGCCCAACTACCGAAAATATTGAGCACCAAATATTTCTGAAATTAGAGTATGCAGTAACATGGTTAGGGGTCGTCCGCAATTATCGAAAGTTTTTTCCAATCCGTAGTAGCTTCGAAAGTGGGTGGGTGGGTCAAGGCCAGTTACGGATTGAAAAACTTCCGATATGACACGTGCGCGTGCCACGTGTACGTCTACGTGTAGCCCCTGTTTTCCACGCGCGGCTGCGCGCGAACTGTCTACTACAAATATTTTCTAGTTCTGGCAGTTTCTGCGCCCCCGCGCGCGCTTCCTTGGCTGCTCCTGGGCCGGGGATCATAAAGTTCGGCGCATTCGACGGCGAGTCGACACTTTCTATTTTTGAGTTTCACTGTCTCCTTCGTCCAGAGTACCGTCTTCCATGCACTCCTTTGAAGTCCTTCCGTCTAGCGCTGGCGCTGACGACTGTTATTGTTCGGTTGTGTGTCCATCAATAATATTTTATTACGGACTGGGGGGGGGTGGGTGGGTGGGTGAGGAAAAATTTGAAGCTACTACGGATTGGAAAAAACTTTCGATAATTGCGGACGACCCCTTACTAGGTCTGAAGATCATGTCGTTATTCGTGAGTTGTTATTACACATACCCAGGCGCGTGACCCGCATGGGTTCCTGGGTGCCCGGAACTCCCCCCTTTTTTTTCCGCTCAAAATGCAGGATTTTGCTTCATTTTTTGAAAAATTTCCCGGGGAGGTCCCCGGAACCCCCCCCCTTGAAGGGCACCGGCGCACGCGCCTGCATACCCGAGGTCGTTATCCATGAGGTTGGCTGTAAACAGAGTGTAACACCAGTGCCCTGGACATAACGTACGGCCATCTACTCTAGGGTTTAGTCGTCTCAAACGGTGATCGCGTATCACAGATGTGCGTGTACAGTGAGCTGATAAGCTACGTGTGCTAACCATGCCAGTACTCTGGATACATATACAGGGTTCGTAGCACAATCTATACACAAAATTTCAGGGGATTTCCAGGGGCATTTCAAGGGTATTCACAGATGTCATACAGCCGCTAGACACCACATATCCGTAGCCACACAGAGGTTCACTGATTCAGAATGTCAACAATCGAAGATTTGATCATCAATACTACAAGTAGTAGAGCCACCGTCACCATCATGCTTCTCCATCGCTAAGTTCTTAGCGAATTAGCCAGTCTTTGTACGGGTCTAAAGACAACCAGCGATCGTTGAAAACACACTTGCCTTTTGGCATGGAGAACAAGTACAACTCTGTAAAACGTCTTCGGCATTCCGAAAAAAAAACTGAAGACACTTTGTCTTGTTGAAGGCCAAAACAAACAAATAAAACGGAAAAGCAGTTGCAGTGGCGGATTCCAGTTTCGCTACAGTCAGGAACCGTCGTACCACAGTCGATAGTCGAGCGTACATGGCGATCAAAAAAATACCGTAAAGAACTAAAGATTCACGCGAGCTGCGCCGGCCGCTGAGGCCGTCGACTCACATGACCAGTACAGGTGACCGGACTGGCACTCGTAGATCTATGCATATCATGTACAGTCAGTCGCTGAGTACGGAGGTCTACCGGATCGCGTGATCTGGAAAACAAATTTCAGGGGATTCAAGGAACATTTTCTATAAAATACAAAATTTGAGGGGATTTCAGGGAATTCCCGGGGGAAGAAAAACTTTCAGGGTTTTCAAGGGTTTTTAAGGGTGCTACGCACCCTGCATATAACATACGACCATCTACCGTGGGCCGTAGTTGCCTTTAGTAGCACCCAGGGGTAGCCACTTATGACAGATCTGCCCATACTACGTTGATCAGCTATGTACCATACCGGGCCTGCTAACCTGCTACAAGCTTGCACAACTAAGTAGTGTGCAAGTAATGTACACTCGACTATGTTCCCTTGGCGCACATGGAAAAGAGGATTGAGTGAGATTATTGTGTACAGTTGGCGATCGTGAAGGATGCAGGACATTGAGAGTTTTGCTACTACCGTAAAGTACCGTTGATCCGCCCCCTCTCTAATTCCCGCCCCCTGTCGATTTTCTCCTTGTGAAGCGACTTCGGCGTATACAACGAAATACGATGTTGAACCGACGCATGCACTGCTGTACACAATACTTGCCAATCCAGGATCAAAATGTGCACAATCCAGCACATTGAGTCTGATCCTCTAGGTTGTTGTACATCGTACTGCACTTGACAGCCTTGATCTAATTCCCGCCCCCTGCCGAAAACCCAGCTGGGAAGCGACATGGCGTGGGGGCGGATCAACGGTACTTTACGGTACTAGTATTCTCACAAGGTCTTTCAAAGAGAAAGTTCGTCGTATCACTGTTATAAGTTCAAGCGGTAGTTTGGAAGCTGTCAATAGTTTCGCAGCCTGTTTCGCAACCTATAACGTCGCATGCAAGGACGCAAATCCACACCATCAAAGATGAAAGGAAGGTAGTGTCTACTTGATTGTGTGGATTCGCGTCTCTGCATGCAAAAGTTATAGATTGGCTAAGATTGCCAAACTGTTATCAGTGTTCTTCGTAATGAGGTGTCACTGTACATCTCTACATGTACTTGGAAGCATGTTTTTTATTAATTAATTAATTCCGTGTTTTTTTGTAAAAATTAATGATGATGCAAAGAAAGAAAAGCACTTTTTTTTTTTTTTTTAATGTTTATTTGAATTCGGATAGCTCAACAGTACAGAAGTACAACTACAAAGAGTACCGAATAGAAGGCCCCGAGAACGGGAAACCAAAAAACAAAAAAAACCAACAAAAAACCAGCAACATCAAGTTACTGATTGCTCAAGCATTGCACCCAGGAGGCAAAAATGAACTCAATGTCACTCGCTGTACAGTATTGCTACTACAGCTGCACATGTATTCTCACCGTTGCAGGTTCAGATCCGCCATGCGCCTCTCGTCAGCCCGCGACACGTGCACCACATGCTCCAGTCCCTCCTGCTTTGCGCCGGCCGACACGGCAATCTCATCGCCACGCACCAGCACGTCAAACAGAGTGGTCTTCGTCTCGAAGATAGTCTCTGTTGTGCCTGCATAGAGACATAGATAGATAGACACTTGTAGTATTATGAGAGAGGGGGGGGGGGGGGCAGGAGGGTGTGACTTTTCCGGGTGGGCCAGGACCGGGCACTGTCCATAACTTTGAAATACCCTAACTCCGAATCAAATGTGTTTCAATGGGGAAAGGCCAGAGGTCTGGTACATGACGTCACTAATTCCACAAAAACTGACAAAAAGAGTACATGTAGCAGTATTTCCACTAACACTCACCCATAGGGTGCCCGGTGTACCGAGGTGCCCGTAACTACGAGGTCCGGATAAGAGAGACCTAGGTGTAGTTCTTTCGTAGGCAAGATATTCTACATACGAGGTCAAGTTACATGTACTGGAACAAGACATGAAGGGACCTTGCAACAGTACTTTATGCATGGCGTATAGATGAAGCAGATGCAAGGAGAAGCAGGTTATTTCCAGGGTACCGTGAAAACCTGCCCTGTTACCGGGCGTCCTTAGCGCAGTGCAAACTATCCTGATTATATGACAGGATTCCGCTTGATTCAGGAATGCACAGGACTTTGGTGCATGAAAATTGGTCCGGCCAATGCAGGATTTCGCTTGGTACAGGGTCTGGCAAACACATGTGTTTGTTTCTGTCCTACCGGTATACACTGCAGCTCCTCTGCACTTACATGCAATGTAGGATTTCTGCTGCTGCAGGTAAGAGATGTCGTTGACGTTGACGTAGAAGAGACCGGGTACGTCGCCCAGGCTCGAGATGACTTCCGACGTACAGCTCGTCATGTGACAGCTATACACTGGCGGATGGACGCACACGGCCGAGAAAAGAAGAAAAAACATGCACGCGCATACACATGCATTCCCACGCGCACACACACACACACACACACACACACACACACACACACACACACACACACACACACACACACACACACACATGTACACAAAAGCAGCAATGCATTGTACAGTGGACCTCTGACCAGGTGTACTATTATGGTGAAAACAATGGGTCGGTTACAGGTGTAACCTGCTCAATGAGAATCTTTTCTCATCAGGATACATAACTGCTCACAGACTGTGCAAACTTTTTATATGCAGATGAGCCACTTTCCCAAGCTGAAAAAGTTCTAATCTTCATTTGAGCAAATAAAAAAAAACACAAAATCATGCACTCCTACCTCGTCCGCACAGTAGTCCCACGGGTGGATGTCCAATGAAGAGAATGCGCTTGCGCAGCATCAGCAGTCGCCACAGGGAGAAGATCTTGGCGCCGAACGAGTAGCAGAACTCAGACACACAGCCCGGAGGATGACGGGCCTGCACGCACACAAAGAGCACAGTACATAGGAAAGGTACGCGCCATTTCAGGTGTCCGGAGGAGACAGTTAGGTCAAAGGTAGAGGGCATAAGTGGACCGATAGAAACTACAGTCGCCTCCACGGTTCCACTTATCACAAACTCGCATGTAGTAAATTCCGTGATATGGCGAATCACATATCGTAGAAAAGCTTGTAAACCAAGTGCACTCATGCAGTCACAGGCCGCATGCCAGGCATGACGTGCTGTTTGTATGGTTGAGTGCCTTTTCTGCTCTTCGGCTGTGAAGAACTAACTCTCCTGCACGTTGGTGTTCGGTATATCAGGAGTCGACTACACATAGCATACATTCTGGCAGGATTTGTACTCACAACACATCATGCATAATAAATAATAACAGTAAACATGCACACACACACACACACACACACACACACACACACACGCACACACACACACGCACGCACGCACGCACGCACGCACGCACACACACACACACGCACACAGACACACACGCACACGCACGCACACGCACACACACACACACACACACACACACACACACACACACATACACATCGACAATACACATTAAACTAAAGAACTGTAACACACACGTACACGCACCTGTATCCGCGGCATCACCGACTGGCCCGGCGTTACGGCAGCGTCCGTTGGCAGCGGCGACTGGGGCGCAAACGAGGCGCCGCTCGGTTGGTGCGCCTCGTAGTAACGCTGCAACTGCTCATGGCCGCGGTTGGGGTCCTCCACTTGACGCTGCACCTCTTTCTTCAGGAAGTCTTGATGACGACACAGAGCGTAGAATGACGGGCATAGGACGCCCACGCTGCGCATGCGTGCACCGCGCTCCTCGGCGCTGTCCACGGCGATCTTCTGGTAGCAGCTGAGACCGAACAGGCCGCCCAAGTTGAACAGGCTGCACAAACACACACACATGTACACACACAAACACACATACACACACACATACACACGCACACACACACACACACATGTATCAGGCATCAATACTACTAGAAAACAAAACAAAACAAACACAAGTAAAAGAACACTGTGCACAGCGAGACAACTTTACAATTAAAACTGCAAGCTGCGAAGACAAGGCACTAAGACATTGTATGCTTGAACTTGAATGCACATTGGCGACATTGATTATCAATAGAATCATGTTCAGCCGTACCAATCATACAGTACTGTTGGTAGCTGAAGAACAGAGCGCCGAAGAACGACCAGGCAAGAATTTCACCAAGCACAGCATGCCAATGTATACACGATGACTCAACTGCGCATAGACTGTGATACATAAAAATAAGAACGGTCTAGGCTAGGAGGCTGACACCCCAGTTCTTCGGCGACCGACAGTGCATTGTACTAAAAAAGTAAAAAGTAAATTATCGCATCCGTTCCCGAAGGGAACTCACGACGGCCGCTAACACCCGATAAACCCTAGCGGCAGATGCAGCGCCTAACGGTGGGGGTGAGTGGGCAAGTCTCACAACCACTGGCACAAGTGCCGAAATCGACCCCATTAGCTGCATCCATGTACCCCTTGTGCCTGGCCACAAGTTCCCAGTTGACTGTGGGTAGCAGCACGGCTGGAAAAACCGCTCCCAGGCAGGACTTGAACCAGGTACCTCTCGTATCTCAATCATGGTCTTTGACCAACCCACTGTGCCTGCATTGTACTATACTTACACATAATCGTCGCTGACCGTGTGGAAGCCGCTCGCCATCGCCTTGAACTCCAGGCCAGCAAGATTGAGGGACTCCGGAGACTTCCATTCCACCGTGTTGCCTGCAGTGGCATGAAGTCAACGATAACAAACCGGGAATTCGTCGTGTCCGCTTGTTTGTGATGGGCGTGAAATCTCACATGCAAAAACAGTGCAAAATCAAGTAGCAGTGTTCTTAAAAAAGAAAAGAAAAAAGATTGGATAAGGGTTGGAGCAAGGTGTCAGGTCATTGAATGTCTCAATGCCCTGTTAGTTGTATGCCTCGTTGTCGCACTTTCTGACTTTATACTTGACGTACTATCTAGTTACAGTGGCGGACAGTTACTCACAACTCGTATCCATGCATCCATTTCCTTTGTACATTTATTATTGGCTCAACATCCGAGTTTCAAGATCAACGATGATGGATTTTGCAACTTGCGAACACAGACCGCTCATCTGTGACACATATCATGCGTCACAGATAAGCGGCCTGTGCTTGCAAATTGCGCAATCAAACTGGCACGCATGCTTCCCATGTTTGACAACAGCTCTCCCTGCCGCAAACATAAACGCTTGCGCACGCTCACACTACCATACATACATACATACATACATACATACATACATACATGTACTGTATGTAGTCTAACTACAGTCCATTTCAAAACTATAGACGCGTACCTAGGCAAAAACCGTTATGCCAGCATCTATACCACATAAAATCTGTGATCACTTTGTGCATAAATTTTTCCAAATTGGGCGTCTGTTATCCAATCCTTTAGAAACTATATGAGAGTAATTGTGGAGCGATCCTGAGCAATATTCCGAAAACTATTCTCAAAAAGTTCCAGCCAAATTTGAAATATTTCAAAAACCCTACGTGTCTATAGTTTTGAAATGCACTGTACAGCTGCTACATACTGATTGCTACTGATAAAACTGATAAAGTAACACCTGCCAAGGTGATCACCCTGATAAGACGACCACCTGTCCAAGAGGATCGTGACTACAACCAGGACCAAAGGTTGCTATTTCCAGTCAAATGATCCTACACAAGGAAACAACCTGAAGATGGAGGCCACATTTCCAAGGTCCCTTGAGCGGTCAGCTTAGACAGGTTTCACCGGCGTACAGTAAAACCTGTCAAGGTGACCACCTGTCCCAGAGGACCACTACAACTAGGGCCAAGGGGTGCTTTTTTCTCCAGATTTCACTGTACGTAGCATTGAGCATCATGCCAATTCTAGGCTATCACTCTTTTTGAGCTATTATGGTGCATTCCTGAGTGTGTATTGAACTTAAAGTGTAGTAAGGTCCAGGGCAATAGTGTTCTGTGCTCATGCCCCCACTCCCGCCCCCCCCCCCCCCCCCCTCTTCCCCATGCTCTTCTCAGTACGTGGTCGTGAACACTTCCTTCCGTTTTCCATGTTCATCCAGCCATGAAAATGAATAATTTGAAAAAAATATTGCAGCTAATGTGACCAAGATACTTTTACGTCAAGAACCCTGGATGTACTTCTATGCTGCACTCGCTTGCAGAAGCCACTTGCACGAGAACATGTGACTGAGATACTTCTCTTTACCGCGACAAGAGACTGATACGCAGCAATATGTGTAGCCAATAATGTGTCTTTCAAAAGTAAAATTTGTATTTCTTTCACAAACCTTTGTGCGTGTCGAAAGACACAACGAAGATCCCCGTTACCACATCATCAAAAGAGAATGCCGTTGGTCTACTGCTACCAGGCTCTTCCGCTACTGGATCTCTAGGATTCGTCAAATCCTCTGCCAACAGTGGCTGATCGTCTTTGTCCATGCTCGCCATTTCGCCTCCAAATTTTCGGATTGATTGACGTGATCGCATACTTATCGCATCATACGTACGTGTCAGCTGAAAAAAAATGTTTTTTTGCCGCGATTATGTCGCATAAAAACTATGAGTGACACAATCGATTAATCATCATGATCATGCATGACGTGCATGCATGACGTGACGTGAATCACGTGATGTCATGTCACTGACATGATTGCCGATTGCCGGATTGGAAAGGCTTACATGTCTGAAGCCTTTCCATACTGGTACTCGATGTTCCAGTTTTGTGACACGAGAATGGCACGAGAATTAGTGTACCGCTGAGTGTACCGCTATACACGTGGTCGACACTTAGACGACACTTTGTTGATACTTTTTTGACACGTGACCCCGTCAACGGTCTGCTTTGTGCCAATGCCACTCGGTAAACGCCGATGTCGCGTACGACAAAGACGACTATCCCGTACGCGAAATAGTTGAGAATTGCATGACGTGGACCTGACGGCAAGGACAACTGCGAGGAGGCCCCTTTCGGTACCCCTGACGGGAAGGGGAACTGCAGAAGTCGACGAAGTCGAACGAGGAGGCCCCTTTTCCGTACCCCATACTGCAAAGTGCTTTGTGGATGGATACCTTTTGCACCTGGAACGACCCTTAAACGCTGTCGCGGCGACTATCCCGTACGCGAAATAGTTGAGAACTGCTGACGTGGACCTTTTGCACCTGGAACGGCCCCGTAAACGCTGTCGTGTCGGCGGAGTGAATGTGCAGGGTACTAGGGTGAAAAGAATTGCTGCAAAGACGTCCCCTCTACTAGGCTCTAGGCCTTTGCCTTTGGAGACATCGTCGGCGAACTGAATGCGCAGGGCGAAAAGAATCGCTGCAAAGACGTCCGCTCTAGGCCTTTGGAGACATCGTGGGAACTCCTTCCGGTACTATACAAACTGCTGACGTGGCCGTGGACATGTACTTGGAGAGTCATGGTGGGACTTCATGTACATGGATACATGGTGGGAATTCCTTCCGGCACCCCCGTACCGCAAAGCCAACGGTGGGGAAGGAGAAGTGCAGACGTGCAGGAAGACGAACGAGGAGGAACCAGGACGAGCGAGCAATGGCAGGACTAGCTGGACCGTAAGTAATAGCTGAATTGTGCATGACAACTTGACATCCATGCGGCACTCGCCACTTGCCACTGCATATTTCTTGTCCACTAACAATGTCTCTCCTCTGCCCCCTGTGTGTCCACGGCCCTGTTGCTGAATTGGCCCGATGAATCGAATGTCTTCCGCAACTGGAACGGCCCCGTGAACGCTGTCGCGTCGACGACTGAATGCGCAGGAGGGAAAATATTGCTGCGAAGACGTCTCCTCTAGACCACGGTAAGGCACCCCATTGATATGTTGCCAGTGTGTGCCAGGGTATCGCGCGATGGTGAATGAGGAATGATGAAGGGTACGGTGGGACTGTAGACCTGTTACCTTCTACTAACACGTTATCAGGTGGAGAGTGTCTTCTACTCACGTTATCAGGTCGAGAGCGTATTGTAGTCACTCTCTCTATTCCTGCACTTCATTACGTTTAAGGTGTACGTATAACTTCTCAAAAAAATGTAATGGTCTGCAGTCGTGTCGGAAGGGTACGGTGGGACTGTAGACATGTTACCTTCTAACACGTTATCAGGTGGAGAGTGTCTTGTACTCACGTTATCACTATATCAGGTCGAGAGCGTATTGTAGTCACTCTCTCTATTCCTGTACTTCATTACGTTTCAGGTGTACGTATAACTTTTCCAAAAAATTTAATGGTTCACGTCTTCAGATAGAGAGCGTATTGCACCCACTGTCTAGTCTCTGTAGTGCATTGAGATTTTGTTGATCGAACATGAAATGGATACACAGACAAAGCCAGGCCAAGTACATGGCGAGATGTCGCCAGAAGAACGTCTTCAGGTAGAGAGCGTATTGCACCCACTGTCTAGTCGATTTTGTGGATCGCACATGAAATGGATACACAGACAAAGCAGGCCAAGTACATGAGAGAGTGGACGATGTGCAGATCGACACGGCCTGCGGGTACTTCATTAAAGTTACCCGTGACATAACTAGGAGAAAAGTTAATCACTGCAAAAACATTGCCAAGTATGTGAGCACTTTGGACTTGACAGAAGAGTGCATGGGCGACGTTGACAAAACATACTGCGGTGACTGTCACTATCATGACAGCAGGGCACATCGCACGCAGCATCGCAGATCGTGTCGAATTGCGCATCATAATATTGCAAAATTGCTCCTGTGCATGCAAGTGGATTTCATTGCACTTCTCAGTTTGGGAAATGCTCGATTATGACAATTCTCCGTGTGAGTGCACTAGCCCTGAACAGACATGTAGGTGAACCGTTTGTGGTGTCTCATAGCCTACCTCACGACCTTCTGCTTCCTTTCTTCATCACTTGTATCTTGCAGGTATATCATCCCGTGACGACCACATTGAAGTCTGAATTTGAAGTGTGAAGATGCTTCAGCAACCACATCGTACTTTTCCATTGCTTTCATTGTGCTTCTACTGTGCATGTGTGTAACTTGTGGGGTAAACATGTGATGACATTGTATGCTGGCGACACGGTCAGATGTTCATGCGTCTAACGTACACCTGCATGTTATGCATTGAAAAGGGTTTGCCACTTGCGATCCTGGGACGAGTATCAGGTCCGCTTTGTCCTGTGTGGGCTGTATCAGATTGCTGTTCACTTCTCTATCTGTTGGATATGTGACTTTCTGCAAGTTTCTGGTGTATGATGGCCACGTCCTTGCTTGTCACTTTGTATGATATTACATTCTGTATTCGCTGCTTCCATGGCATGGTCTGCAAACTGCAATCCTTGGGCAAATGTCATGTTTGCTATGTTGTGCTTTGGCCGTGAGCTTGTCTACACGCTGTAGGTGAATTATTTTTGTTTCACAACTGACTTCCTCAAGTACGGTGGCCACTGCTTTGCATGGCATTATACATGAAGAATTTCCTGTTTGTGTCGTGTGCATGTGCGTATGTGTGCGTGGCCACGTGTGTGTGCCGTGTGCATACACATGTTTGTGTATCTGTGTGCGGGGTAGCGAGGCGGGGAGGGCTGGTATGTATCAGTGTGTTATTGCAGTCGCATGGCTACATACAGTACATCACGCGCGAGGTCAACATGTTTACCTTCGGGGTTGGGGTGGGGAGGGAACGGAAAAAGAGCTGAAATTATCCATATAAAAATCGCTCTGTGAGCGGTTCTGAAAAACCTTTACTGGTACTGCCCCGTCGTAAAAGTAAGAAATTAGAACTGGCCCATTGTCCCCCCAAATGCGAACTGATCCACCTAAATCGCGAATGACGGGACCCGAACGCACCAGTAGCACGAGGTTCCCACCTGTGGATGCAGATGGGGACGTTGGTCCGGACCATAGGCCATGTACTGTACTAGCGGTAGGCTTCCCTATCAAAATAATAAATTCTACTGCTACTACTGGTGTTACCCTATGATAATTGCCGTGATCCTGTGCACTCCCGACCTCGTGCTACTGGTGCGTTCGGGTCCCGTCATTCGCGATTTAGGTGGATCAGTTCGCATTTGGGGGGACAATGGGCCAGTTCTAATTTCTTACTTTTACGACGGGGCAGTACCAGTAAAGGTTTTTCAGAACCGCTCACAGAGCGATTTTTATATGGATAGACTGATGTGCCCAATGCTGCATAATAATATGCCCGCTAGCAGGCGCTAGGCCCAGACAGATTCTGCTCCGCTCGCCTTAGGCCTTGACCAAGAGTAGATAAACAAGAGTGTGCAACTCGCGGATGGGTTGGCCCACGGCGGAATTTTTTGTTGACGTAATCTTTTGGACGACGCACGCACTACGAGTCTTTTGGAAAGTTTTCCCTCGTGCACTTGGCCGCATTTGCACTACAAAGTCGGTGCTCAGCACGTGCTCTCACACTGCTCTGCAGCAAAATGCGCGTTCTTCTGAAAAAAGGTGACGTCAACAAAAAATTCCGCCGTGGGCGGGGGGTATCTTCAGATTGTGCAGGAGAGATCCGGAGTTGCACACTCTTGTTTATCTAGGGGGCGTTCGTTTTTGATCTACAGGTTTGGGTAGAAACTACTTCTTACGGTAGAGGTGTTCGTTTTTTGAAAAAAAATTCTACTCAAAAGGGTAGATTCTACTTTCCTCTACCGGCTCTACCGGGAAAAAGTTGGTAGAATCCGGTAGAAGTTGGTAGAGCTACGGCATTTCCAGCAAGATCAAGGATTTGTACACAACTCCATAAAAAAAAGAAACATTTCACGTACACACCGTGGAAACTACCAGATGTGGTAGAACAGCGTTCGTACACTTGCCTCTACCATCTACCTCTATTGGTAGAGTGACTCTACTCTACTCTACCAGGTAGCTAAAAACGAACGCAGCCCTACTCTTGCCTTGACGGATTATGCTAATATTTTCGTGAAATTATGCTTTTCGCATTGCTGAAAAAATGGCAGAATTATGCTATTTTTATGCTAAAAGTTATCATATTATGCCGCATCATGCTCACATATGCTGCTAATGTATATGATCGTTCTGTGCAAAATAACAGGGGAATTTTTTGTAGAGGGCGTTGTACCATGTGTACTGTATACATGTAGTAGCAAAAGTTCAACGGGGTCAACGCACCGTCCGACCTAGCTACGACCGTCACTGATTGTAGTGGACTGGACATGTTATCAAGGGAGTCGTAAACCTACGACTTCCTGGTGCATCTACTTGTACAGTCGTCCCTCTCTAATCCGGCACCTTTTGCAACGGCATTTTCTGCTGGATAAACGAGGGTGCTGGATTATCAAATCCTGTCCTCCACCCCGGCCCACCTACTAACATACATGTACATGTTTGTGTCATACGTCAAAACGCAGGGATTTTCCGTGTCAATCCAAGTACTTTGTGGAATGCATGTCTACTATACAGCGCATAGGATATTCCCAAGTGTATGTTACATGTGTAGAATGCTCCC